TGGTATGCTGGGATTTCATAGATCCACAACATGGCATGCTGGGATTTCATAGATCTACAACATGGTATGCTGGGATTTCATAGATCTACAACATGGCATGCTGGGATTTCATAGACCTACAACATGGCATGCTGGGATTTCATAGATCTACAACACGGTATGCTGGGATTTCATAGATCTACAACATGGCATGCTGGGATTTCATAGATCTACAACACGGTATGCTGGGATTTCATAGATCTACAACATGGCATGCTGGGATTTCATAGATCTACAACATGGCATGCTGGGATTTCATAGATCTACAACATGGTATGCTGGGATTTCATAGATCTACAACATGGTATGCTGGGATTTCATAGATCTACAACATGGTATGCTGGGATTTCATAGATCTACAACATGGTATGCTGGGATTTCATAGATCCACAACATGGTATGCTGGGATTTCATAGATCTACAACATGGCATGCTGGGATTTCATAGATCTACAACATGGTATGCTGGGATTTCATAGATCTACAACATGGTATGCTGGGATTTCATAGATCTACAACATGGTATGCTGGGATTTCATAGATCCACAACATGGCATGCTGGGATTTCATAGATCTACAACATGGTATGCTGGGATTTCATAGATCTACAACATGGCATGCTGGGATTTCATAGACCTACAACATGGCATGCTGGGATTTCATAGATCTACAACACGGTATGCTGGGATTTCATAGATCTACAACATGGCATGCTGGGATTTCATAGATCTACAACACGGTATGCTGGGATTTCATAGATCTACAACATGGCATGCTGGGATTTCATAGATCTACAACATGGCATGCTGGGATTTCATAGATCTACAACATGGTATGCTGGGATTTCATAGATCTACAACATGGTATGCTGGGATTTCATAGACCACAACATGGTATGCTGGGATTTCATAGATCTACAACATGGCATGCTGGGATTTCATAGATCTACAACATGGTATGCTGGGATTTAATAGATCTACAACATGGTATGCTGGGATTTCATAGATCTACAACATGGTATGCTGGGATTTCATAGATCTACAACATGGTATGCTGGGATTTCATAGATCCACAACATGGTATGCTGGGATTTCATAGATCTACAACAGGCTGCCACACATTCATTCTTATGCATTGCAATCTGTATAGAAACGTTTTTATCTGCCTCCCAGCAAAGCAAGATTTATTATATACCTGTAGTACGGTACCAGTTCAGTGACCCCGAAATCGATTCATAATAAAGTGTATATCTGGTCAAACGTAAAATGTACAAAAAGTTAACCCCTCGCCTACCGGCCACTTATACCCCCTTCCTGCCCAGGCCAATTTTCAGCTCTCAGCGCTGTCACACTTTGAATGACAATTGCGCGGTCATGCAACACTGTACCCATATGAATTTTTTATCATTGTTTTGAGACAGAGCTTTCTTTTGGTGGTATTTAATCACCTCGGGGTTTTTTATTTTTTGCTAAACAAACCAAAAACCACTGAAAATTAAAAAAAAAAAAACATTTTTTTCTTACTTTTTGTTAGAAAATTTTGTAAATAAGTGATTTTTCTCCTTCACTGATGTGGGCTAATGAGGCTGCAGTGATGGGCACTGATAGGTGGCACTGATGGGCACTGATGAGGAGGCACTAGTAGGTGGCACTGATGGGCATTGACAGGCATCATTGATGGGCATTGAAAGGTAGCACTTATATGGCACTGATAGGTGGCATTGATGGGCACTTATGAGGAGGCACTAGTAGGTGGCACTGATGGGCATTGATGGGCATTGAAAGGTAGCACTTATATGGCACTGATAGGTGGCATTGATTGGCGGCACTGACTGGCACTGTTAGGTGGCACTGATAGGTGTCACTGATGCGCATTGATAGGTGGCACTGATAGGCGGCACTGATAGGTGGCACTGACTGCCACTGATAGGTGACACTGAAAGGCAGCTTAGATGGGCACTGATATGTGGCATTGATGTGCACTGGTAGGCACTGATATGTGGCATTGAGGAGGCACTGATGGGTACTGACAGGTGGCATTGATGGGCACTGACAGCTGACATTGATGGACACCAACAGGTGGCACTGCTGGGGGCTACACAAATCAGTGCCCTGATGATCAGTGTACATTTCCTCTCTGTGGAATGCCGATTACAGTCTCTCCTCTCGAGTTGTAAGTGTGACAGCTCGTGAGGAGAGAAATGCCGATAACCCGCATTTCCCTATTTACATGCGATCAGCTGTGATTGGACACAGCTTATCACATGACCAAGCCGACTTCTTCGGCTCTTTCCGTGGGTCGGTGATCAACACGCGGTTAGAGTGGGAGGATGTCATATGACGTCCTCACAGAATGAGACAACCGCCTTGCGCCCGTCATTCCCTTATATGGCGGGCGGGAGGAGGTTAAAGACACGTGCAGTAAACTCCTTCTAATAAATAATATAGTTAGTGCAGTGCTGTAATGCTAATAGAGAGAGATTTAAGTAAATAAAAGTAAAAGTTCATAGAGTCCTTTATACAGTAAAAAGTGACTGCAAACGAAAGTGTTGTGAAGACCTCCTCAGCATTAGATAGGTGACTGGAACCAAATAGATAAAAATGCGCACTCACCGACCGCGCATTTAAAATGCGCATGTATGCAATTTTATCCAGGTAATCGGCCAGGCATGTGGATCAGCCAAACGTATAGGTCATCCCTCTCAGGTAAAAACATCAGCCTTGGGTGCAGTAATATGCCTCTAGGTCCAGAGAGCCTTCTTGCCCAAAGTGTTAAGGTAGGTTAAGCTCCCTCTCCTGGTTGCAAGGTGCCCTAGGAATTGGCTGCTGTAAATCTGGAACCCTTCACATCGTACCACACTCCTCCTGCTACTAGCAATACACTGAACTCAGCTCAGGAGCACGCATCAAACGTTTGGGCACCCCAGCTAAAAAATTTGTATTAATGTGCATAAAGAAGCCAAGGAAAGATGGAAAAATCTCCAAAAGGCATCAAATTACAGATTAGACATTCTTATAATATGTCAACAAAAGTTAGATTTTATTTCCATCATTTACACTTTCAAAATAACAGAAAACAAAAAAATGGCGTCTGCAAAAGTTTGGGCACCCTGCAGAATTTATAGCATGCACTGCCCCCTTTGCAAAGCTGAGACCTGCCAGTGTCATGGATTGTTCTCAATCATCGTCTGGGAAGACCAGGTGATGTCAATCTCAAAGGTTTTAAATGCCCAGACTCATCTGACCTTGCCCCAACAACCAGCACCATGGGTTCTTCTAAGCAGTTGTCTAGAAAACTGAAACTGAAAATAGTTGACACTCACAAAGCTGGAGAAGGCTATAAGAAGATAGCAAAGCATTTTCAGATGTCAATATCCTCTGTTCGGAATGTAATTAAGAAATGGCCGTCATCAGGAACAGTGGAAGTTAAAGCAAGATCTGGAAGACCAAGAAATATATCAGACAGAACAGCTCGCAGGATTGTGAGAAAAACAATTCAAAACCCACGTTTGACTGCACGATCCCTCCAGAAAGATCTGGCAGACACTGGAGTTGTGGTACACTATTCCACTATAAAGAGATACTTGTACAAATATGGTCTTCATGGAAGAGGCATCAGAAGAAAACCTCTTCTACGTCCTCACCACAAAAATCATCGTTTGAACTTTGCAAATGAACATATAGACAAGCCTGATGCATTTTGGAAACAAGTTCTGTGGACCGATGAGGTTAAAATGGAACTTTTTGGCCGGAATGAGCAAAGGTACGTTTGGAGAAGAAGGGGCACAGAATTGAATGAAAAGAACCTCTGTCCAACTGTTAAGCATGGGGTTGGATCAATCATGCTTTGGGGTTGTGTTGCAGCCAGTGGCACAGGGAACATCTCACAAGTAGAAGGAAAAATGGATTCAATAAAATTTCAGCACATTTTGGATGGTAACTTGATGCCATCTGTGAAAAAGCTGAAGTTAAAGAGAGGATGGCTTCTACAAATGGATAATGATCCTAAACACACCTCGAAATCCACGGGGGATTACATCAAGAGGTGTAAACTGAAGGTTTTTTTGCCATGGCCTTCACAATCTCCTGACCTCAACATAATTGAAAATCTATGGATAGACCTTAAAAGAGCCGTGCGTGACAGACAGCCCAGATATCTCAAAGAACTGGAAGACTTTTGTAAGGAAGAATGGGCAAAGATACCTCAGACAAGAATTGAAAGACTCTTGGCTGGCTACAAAAAGTGTTTACAAGCTGTGATACTTGCCAAAGGGGGCAGTACAAGATATTAACTCTGCAGGGGGCCCAAACTTTTGCAGACGCCATTTTTTTGTTTTCTGTTATTTTGAAAGTGTAAATGATGGAAATAAAATCTAACTTTTGTTGACATATTATAAGAATGTCTAATCTGTAATTTGATGCCTTTTGGAGATTTTTCCATCTTTCCTTGGCTTCTTTATGCACATTAATACAAATTTTTAGCTGGGGTGCCCAAACTTTCCATCCCCACTGTATATATTTCTGCTTTTAGCCTCTTCCAGTGTGTGTGTATTGTACTGGACCAGCTTTTGATAGGGGACAATGGCGGACCATGCCTGCACAATGTGTATCAGCACCGCCTCCACCAGAGGAGATGTGGCAGGGGTGACAACACAGGAGAACAATTGGGAAACAATTCTCATTCCATAGCAGGAAGTGCCTGAACGAAGATCATCATGGCAGGATCACCAAGGGTTATTTTAACCTCTTCCTGTCCTGCCCATGCCAATAAATGGCTGGGCGGGCATGCTGCCAATGCAGGTGGACGTTTCTAAACGTCCCCCCCCGCATCCATTGCATGTGCGCGCTCCCTGAGACAACGATCGCTGTACGGGACCTCTGTGTGAGGTGTCGATTCATGTGATCACTGATTGGCCAATCAGTGATCACATGAATAGTAGTAAGCAAGATGTCACTTGCTGACATTGCTTACTACGTGTGAAATCTGTGAATAATCACAGAGGTCACATGGTACAGGGGCTATTCACAGTAACCTTGTACCATGTGACAAGCTGTGACCAATCACAGTTCGCGCAGTATTTCTCAATTGCTGCAGGAATGCAACCAGAGAGAAGGAGAAATGATTGCTTTTACAGCCTTTATAGGTGTAAAAGCAATCTGTAAAAAAAAAAAAAAATCTTCACCCCCCCCCCCACAAGTAGTACTGTGTCACTGTGGTGACACTGTACTGTTAGGGTGACAATATGTTAAAAAAAAAAACCATAAATAATAATATAAAAAAATTAAAAATGTAAGAAAATGTTTTGAAAAATTATAATTTTTGGTTATAAACTAATTTTTGTTTTTTTGTTATTTTTTTTTACTAAACGGATAGATTAATACATTTTGGCCAAGATTTTATGAAGAAAGATTATTTATTTGCAAAATTTTATAAGAAAAACACTTTTTTTTTTCAAAATGTTTGGTGTTTTTTCATTTGTATAGCACCACCAGAAGAAAGTTTTATCTGTATTAAAAAAAAGCTAAATATTTCATATGGGTACAGTGTTGCATGACCGCGCAATTGTCATTCAAAGTGTTGATAGCGCTGAAAGCTGAAAAATGTCCTGGACAGGAAGGGGGGGAAAGCGTCCGGACTGGAAGGGGGGGAAAGCGTCCGGACTGGAAGGGGGGGGAAAGCGTCCGGACTGGAATGGGGGGGAAAGCGTCCGGACTGGAAGGGGGGGAAAGTGTCCGGACTGGAAGGGGGGAAAGCGTCCCGGACTGGAAGGGGGGGGAAAGCGTCCGGACTGGAAGGGGGGGGAAAGCGTCCGGACTGGAAGGGGGGGAAAGCGTCCGGACTGGAAGGGGGGGGAAAGCGTCCGGACTGGAAGGGGGGGAAAGCGTCCGGACTGGAAGGGGGGGAAAGCGTCCGGACTGGAAGGGGGGGAAAGTGTCCGGACTGGAAGGGGGGGGAAAGTGTCCGGACTGGAAGGGGGGGAAAGTGTCCGGACTGGAAGGGGGGGAAAGTGTCCGGACTGGAAGGGGGGGAAAGTGTCCGGACTGGAAGGGGGGGAAAGCGTCCGGACTGGAAGGGGGGGGAAAGCCGTCGGACTGGAAGGGGGGGGAAAGCGTCCGGACTGGAAGGGGGGGGAAAGCGACCGGACTGGAAGGGGGGGGAAAAGCGTCCGGACTGGAAGGGGGGGAAAGCGTCCGGACTGGAAGGGGGGGGGAAAGTGTCCGGACAGGAAGTGGTTAGAGAAAGGTACAGACGTACATCTGCTTTAAAGCCCGGGGATGATGGGTGTCACTGGTTAAGTGCATTCATCAATTATTCATTGCCGGATTCATTTGACTTGCAGCTCACCCCATTCTGACCTGCCTTGAGCTGCTTTTGCAGTCAGGTCAACGTGTGAGGAGAGAATCTTTTTCCATCAACACTGGCTGTTATGCAGGCCATAGACTGGTCGAAAATCTTCCGTTTGTTAAAAAAAAAGAAAAAATTGGTCGTTCGATCGGCCGACGTTTACCACCAACGGTAAAAAAATCAGCTGATTTTCGCCCCGTCTATGGCCTGCATTTAACCCCATAATTACTTCTGTCCCTTGCAGAGACAGGGGAGCACACAGGGGAGCACACAGGGGAGCAATACATAAGAATAAAAGAAGAAGAATTCCAGTCCGCTATTATATTTTATATGAAAAGTCTTGTGGTTGCAACAATGTATCCATTTGTATCTATTTTGGATACAGATGTTTTTATTCGGATACAAAATGGATACATTGTTGCAAACCGCAAGACTTTTCATATAAAATATAATAGCGGACTGGAATTCTTCTTCCTCGTCCTCCTCTTCCTTGTCCTCCTCTTCCTTGTCCTCCTCTTCCTTGTCCTCCTCTTCCTTGTCCTCCTCTTCCTTGTCCTCCTCTTCCTCGTCCTCCTCTTCCTCGTCCTCCTCTTCCTCGTCTTCCTCGTCTTCCTCGTCTTCCTCGTCTTCCTCGTCTTCCTCGTCTTCCTCGTCTTCCTCGCCCTCCCTCGTCCTCGCCCTCCCTCGTCCTCGCCCTCCCCCCTCGTCCCTCGCCCTCCCTCGTCCTCGCCCTCCCTCGTCCTCGCCCTCCCCCCCTCGCCTCTGTCCTCGCCCTCCCCTCGTCCTCGCCCTCCCTCTCCTCGCCCTCCCTCGTCCTCGCCCTCCCTCGTCCTCGAACAGCCCTCCCTCGTCCTCGCCCTCCCGCTCGCCCTCTTCTTCCCCTCCTCCTCTTCTTTCCCCTCCTCCTCTTCTTCCCCCTCCTCCTCTTCTTCCCCCTCCTCCTCTTCTTTCCCCTCTCCTCCTTCTTCCCCCCTCCTCCGCCCCTTCCTCTTCTTCCCCCTCCTCCTCTTCCTCTTCTTCCCCCTCCTCCTCTTCCTCTTCTTCCCCCTCCTCCTCTTCCTCTTCTTCCCCCTCCTCCTCTTCCTCTTCTTCCCCCTCCTCCTCTTCCTCTTCTTCCCCCTCCTCCTCTTCCTCTTCTTTTCCCCCTCCTCCTCTTCCTTCTTCCCCCTCCTCCCCTTCCTCTTCTTCCCCCTCCTCCTCTTCCTCTTCTTCCCCTCCTCCTCTTCCTCTTCTTCCCCCTCCTCCTCTTCTTCCCCCTCCTCCTCTTCCTCATTCTTCCCCCTCCTCCTCTTCCTCTTCTTCCCCCTCCTCCTCTTCCTCTTCTTCCCCCCTCCTCCTCTTCCTCTTCTTTCCCCCTCCTCCTCTTCCTCTTCTTCCCCCTCCTCCTCTTCCTCTTCTTCCCCCCCTCCTCCTCTTCCTCTTCTTCCCCCTCCTCCTCTTCCTCTTCTTCCCCCCTCTTCCTCTTCCTCTTCTTCCCCCCCTCCTCTTCCTCTTCTTCCCCCTCCTCCTCTTCCTCTTCTTCCCCCTCCTTCCTCTTCCTCTTCTTTTTCCTCCTCCTCCTTCCTCTTCTTTTTTCCTCCTCCTCCTTCCTCTTCTTTTTCCTCCTCTTCCTCCTTCTCCTCTTCCTCCTTCTCCTCTTCCTCCTGTAACGTTTCTTGAGCAGATTTTTTTTTTTTTTTATCGGTTAAAACGATCGGCCGATTTGCCCATCATTGCCGTCAAAATCACTCGCAAATTTTCCAACATGCCCGATTAAAAAAAAATGTGCAAAAAGCCCAAAAACGGCCCGACCAGTTAACCCAAATTAACCCATGTGCGAAAATCGGCCGTTTTTTTTTTTTTCCCGTCTGAAAAATCGGCCGATTTTCGACTCGTCTATGGCCGGCATTAGTCTGTCTTGCATTCTTCAGGGGGGGGGGGATTCACTTTTGTGACCACACTTGAAGTGGAAGGATACATTTTACAATGTATGACTATGCATTTTCGCAGAAACGGCACCGATCCAATGACTCGGGAACGTCGGGCAGAGACCGCAGTCACAGTTGTGATTCCGCAGATATGCCTCCCAGCAAAGCGAAGGATGAACCGTGGCTCCAGGAACTGTGCACAGCATTCATGCAGCAATACATCCAATACCTACAGAGTACCGGCTTCATCCTTGTCCAGCTACGGCCTGCTTCTCCCGCCCGCAGGTAAGTGCCAGTCGTGTGTGTTGGGCTAAGAGGGCTCTTGTCATTTGATTAGTATAATGATTTAAACACTATATTTCAAGGTTAACCCCTTGACGCCGAGCGCACGCAAATATGCGGCCTCTCGCTGTCTGGGCCTTGACGCTGAGCCTGCCGCATATTTGCGTGCAATTAGAAAATACATACGTGCTGAGAGTGCACTCCCAGCACATATGTCCGTGACTTACGGAAAGGTCCCGATCTCCCCTTTTGATCGGGACCTTTTTCCGATCATGTGGAGGCGAATCACGGAGGTCACATGACCCTAAAACCCCGCCCACCTCCCGACTTCTGGAACTCTTAAAGGGCCGGGAGGCTCCGGCGCTAAGAGGTTAAAGTGACCCTTTCACCGGCTCTTGCTTATGATTAACCCCTTGGTGCCGGCGCCTCCCGACCCTTTAAGGGTTTCAGAAGCTGGGAGGTGGGGCACGGTTTTAAAAAAAAGTAAACAGAAAAAAGAAAAAATTGGTAAAAAAAAATATATAAATTGTAGAAAAAATGTTTAAAAATTTAATAAAACATTATTTCGATTTTCTATGTTTACATACTGTCACCAGTCAGTATCCCTGATCACCGCCGTACCAGTCACACGATGACGCTGTACTGCACTGGTGACAGTATGTAAAGAAAAAAGAATTGTGGAAAAAAAAAAAAGAATTTTAATTTCCTAATTTTCCAAAAAATTTATGACAAATTACAACTTCAAAAAACTCGCTCTGACTCTTATTAACCCCTTGGCGCCAGTGTCTCCCTGCCCTTTAAGGGTTTCAGGGTCATGTGACCACCGTGATTTGCCGTCGCGGCGGTCACATGCTCAGGAAAGGTCCCGATCTCCTCTTTCGATCGGGACCTTTCCGTGAGTATCAGACATGTGTGCTGGGAGTGTGCGCAGGGGCGCTCGCTCTCAGCACACATGTTTTTCTTTATTGCACGCATATTTGCGGCCGCTTGGCGTCAAGACCCAGACGCCGAGAGGCCGCACATTTGCGTACGGCTGGCGCCAAGAGGTTAAAGTAAATTCAGAAGGCGGGGTGGGGATTTAGGATCATGTGACCGCCATGATGCACCGTCACGTGATCGGGAAAGGTCCCAAGATGAGATCGGGACCTTTCCGTGAGTACCGGACATGTGTGCTGGGAGTGTGCAGTGTTTTTCTTCAGTATCTTTCTCATTCACTGAGGGACAAAAGAAGTCTCAACTGTCAGCCTATTCTGATGCCTACAGGAGGATTGGAAAACAAAAAATGATAGACCAGCCCAGGATGGCCCCACCAGTCTTTCTTTTTCTCTCGAACGTGACTGTCAGTTAAAAGCCATGCCCTCTTCTGCAGAGCTAACCAGATCCCGTAGGCTGTGACATACTAGCTCTGGTCAGTTCTGAAGGGGGAGGAAAGTTGGGTTTATCCATACGCTGTATAAGTGACGCAGTATGTGGGTTCTGGTTAGCTCTGAAGAGGGTATGGCCCTCGAAACGCATTAGCTGTACCCGATTGGGGGCATGCTTCTGGTGGTGGCTTGGTTATATATATATATATACGCCTGTGCCATTTCTGCTTTTGTGAGTATAATGCATCTCCAGAATACGCCCCTTTTT